CCAGGGTGGCCTCGAACTCACAGAGATCCGCCTGGCTCTGCCTCCCGAGTGCTGGGATTAAAGGCGTGCGCCACCACCGCCCGGCCGTCTGACTGGTTTCTTAAAAATATGAAGTATCACTGGGCTGTGGTGGCGCACACCTTTGACCCCAGCACTCGGGACGCAGAGCCAGGCGGATCTCTGAGTTCGAGGCCAGCCTGGTCTACAGAGCCAAGATCCAGGGCAGGCATCAAAATTACACAGAGAAACCCTGTCTCAAAAAACGGAAAAAAAAAAAAAAATCAGGGCTGGGGGATGCTCCTTTTAGTGAAGTGCTCACTGCACAAGCAAGCATTCATGTCAAAGTGGCGCTCCCCTGTAACTCCAGCACTGGAGGGTTCCAGAGACAGGCAGATCCCCAGAACTCCAGAGCCAACTAGACCGCCTTGATTAGCTCCAGGTTCAGTGAGAGATGCTCTCTAAAACTAAGGTGATGCATACCTGGAATTCCAGCACGTGGGAGGCAGAGGCAGGAGGAGCTCTGTGTGTCTGAAACCAGCCCTAGTCTACACAGTAAGCTCCAAGCCAGCCAGGGCCAGTGAGACCCTGTATCACAAAAGGAGGAGGTATCGGGTGTCTACTTTCGGCCTCGACAGCACGGGCACACGTGGACATACACAGCCACAGGCGTGTGTGTGCACACGGACGCTAAAGTAATCCTAACAGTCTCCAACACTTCCTGTGTTTCTAATACACAATTCATTTAGTCTCCACACTGTTTTCTGAGTAAGTAGCTTCAGGCCTGTTAGGACGACTGGAGTGTGAGGCTTGTTGACATTATGCAGCTCGGTCAGTTTCAGAGCTGGTACAAGGCAGAACCGCCACCTCCCTGATTTGACTGTCTCTCTACAGAGAGCAGCACCCCTTCCTCACTGCACCCCTGTGGGAGCCCGTTCTCGGGTTCCTCGTGGCTTTACCCAGCAGGTCCGAATAGAGGATGATTAGGACCACGGGCCTGAGTGCAGGTGTCTGAGATGGTCTGCACTTGGCTGTGCTGGGGGAGGAGGTCTTTTGCTCCACCCCTTGGCGTCTCTACAAAAACCCTGGGCCAGAGATAGTCGGGGCCCGTTGGAATAGGTTCCAGGCCCTCTCGAGGCTATCCTTTATTTTCTATCTGTTTATCTCCACAAGATTCTCCGCTATAAATCCTTCTATCTAATATTTCCTGCTGCTTGCACTCAAGAAAACTCTGGGAAGCTGTGGGGGTGGTGGGTAAACGCCCCACACACCCCGGTGGTACCCCTCCACACAGGATGCACCCCGGTGGTACCCCTGCACACAGGATGCACCCCGGTGGTAACCCTCCACACAGGATGCACCCCGGTGGTACCCCTCCACACAGGATGGCTTCTCATCAAAACAGTGAACAGCTACGGGCTGCCTGCTCCCCAACGACAACCTGTCCCCACTCATTTTGGAAATAAAGCTTGTATCTTGTTAAAAAGTAAGCACTCAGATTTATGGATTAAAAATGTTAAAAATCAAGACCTACTGAGGATTTGGTGTTGTAAGAGCACACTGGTTATAAGAATCCATGAAAGCAATCTGTTTGTTACAATGCTGTGGTGTTCAGCACTTTAGACACACAGTCAATTTTTTGAGAGGTGGAGGCAGAAGGATCAAGAGTACAAGGTTATCCGCAGCTACAATAGCAAGGTCAAGGCCATCCTGGGCTACATGAGACTCTGTTCCTGAAACAAGCCAACAAAACAAAACAACAAACAAACAAGCATTCTCACTTACGCTGACAGCATTGATGTCTGAGATATGTCCCGTGAAAGACTGCCTACACATCCCATCTCGGACATCCCACAGTTTTGAAGACGCGTCACAAGCACCAGACACAAAGGTCTTCAAGTCAGGACTCAGTGAGAGACTCATCACATCACCCGAGTGTCCCGCGAAGGTCGTCGTCTGCTGCCCCGTCTCGATGTCCCACAATGCACTGTGAGTAAAGACAAGTACAGACACAAAATGACCACACCCTCCCCGGTGTCTCTGCCCACTACTACAGGCTTCTCTTGAACTTACCACGTCGTGTCTCCTGAGCTGGTAATGATTTGTCCGTCGTCTAAGAACCGGCAGCAGGACAGGTAGCCTGCAGCAGAGAGCAGCCCATGTCAGGCCGTGGCCACAGTGACACAGCAGGACGAAAACCTAAACTCAGGCAACAGGCCCAGTCAGCGGGACAGAGCTCTGCTGCAGTGACTCCAATTCCTCGCTGTCTTCGGAGGTCCTCACTGTATCAGGCAGTGAGCACTCAAAGTGACCACATCAAGCATGGCAGCCCATTAGCCGCACAGTGTGTTTAACCCTGACATTGGGACACAACACTGTTATCTACAAAATTCATGCTTAAGAACCATACAATTGATTTTTTTTTTTTCGAGATAAGGTTTTGGTGCCTGTCCTAGATCTCACTCTGTAGAGCCCAGGCTGGCCTCGAACTCACAGAGACCTGCCTGGCTCTCTGCCTCCCGAGTGCTGGGATTAAAGGTGTGTGCCACCACAGCCTGGCGACAACTGAATTTTTAAAAATTGCAATAAAATGAGCTTTTTATTTTCAGTATATTTATGACAATGTGTTGGGCTGCATTCATAGCTATCCTGGGCTCCACATGGTCTGTAGGCTGCAGGTGGGACACATCTGAGAGAGGGTGCTCCCTAACCAGTATCTAGAACCTAGAACCCATGGCAGAATGGGCCCAGTAATGGAGAAACGCTAAAAATACCATGAAAGCTTTATGGGAAACGTGGTATCTGCATGATTCATGTCCATCAGCATTTCAGAGTCCCCAAGGGGCAGAGAAACACTGTTCTGAGACTCTGTAGAAATGTGGTCAACAGACCGGAAAGATACGAGCGGCAGGGACCTCCTAACTACGGAGGCCTGGGAGTGAGCAATGCCACACATGAACAGGGCTTCTGGTGACGTAAAGATTCCACCAGCGCAGACAGTCCAGTCCCGGGCCTTGTTCCAGGGCAGCAGAAATTGCAGAGGCCGTATTTGCTTCCTTTTGTAGTTTTTATGATTGTCTGGATTTTTTGGGTAGCAAATTTATCATGTTTACAAAACAATAGTTATATTTGAAAGAAAGAAATCGTGGGGTAGCACACCTCCATGGGAGAATGCATGTGCATCCAAAGGTACCCCAGCCCCGAACTAAAGGAACAAAAGGACCATTATCATATGCACTCTGAGAGTTACTGCTTTTAGATCACAGTGATTTCTGCTTTCCTTTTTCTCTGGCTACTCGATCACAGTCTGCCACGTGTCCTCAGTCAGCTGTCAGGACAGGGAAGGCCGAGGAGGACAGAGACATTTAAGCACTCACCTGTGTGCCCCGGCAGTTCTCGGCTCACCCGCACATTCCCCTCTCGAGTCTTCAGGTTGTATATGGAGCAGATGTTGTCCAAGCCTCCACAGGCAACATAGTTCCCAGACGGGGCATAGGCACAAGTCATCACCCAGGAGGACCTCAGCGGAATGGCATGCATCTACCACACAAGCAATGCACAGAGGCACGGGGACTGTTATGGGGAAAGACTTCAAGGGCAGTCCGTGCATTCCTAAACCTGTTTATGATGAGGCAAGCTTGGCTGGAAATCAGGCGCGGCTAAGAACAAACGGGCGGGGGCATGGAAAGGAGGCCACGAGACCTGAAACCCCCACAGGCACACGGGATGGATGCCCCTTTCTGTGTAGCAGGCCACTTGGATTTGAAGTGTTCGCTTTAGGAAGAGTTTTATTTTTAATTATGTGCCTGTGTGGTAATGTGCAGGTGCCCTCAGAACCACAGGCACTGGATCCCCTGGAGCTGGAGCCACAGGGAGTTGTGAGCCCTTGATGTAGGTTCTAGGAACCAAACTTGGGGCCTCTGGAAGAGCGCCAAGAGCTTTTAACCAAGTGAGCCATCTCTGTAGCGTCATACCCCTCCCAGTGTTTAAATAAAAGCAAAGCTATGCGGATTTTGTCTTTGTTTTTTGAGAAACTATCTTAATTCCCTGTTGGCCTGGAATTACTTATATAGACCAGACTGGACTCAAAGAGATCCTCTTGCCTCTGCCTACTGAATAAGGTGTAAAATGCGAATAAAGATTTTAGCAAAATCATTGGTACAATAATGCTCAAAAGAGGAATCTCCTATACCTGAACACTGAACCATAAAAGGGAGGGAGCTGAGAAGAATCAGAGCCACTCTGAATGACTTTTCCGAGGGGGCCTGCATGAGTGCCCTTGTATTAACAGGAATACGTTCCAGGACCTCAGGGGCGATGCAATGGTCTAGTCAGACTTAGAAGCAGGTCAAGTGGAACAGCCGACATTTGATTTACCACACCTCCTGTGATACGACCACGCTTCCTCCTGACCTAAAATAACATCGTAAAAGTGTATTTGTTTTTCTGTGTTAGAAGAATGGGTTTGAACGAGACTAGTCTAATACCAATTAGGCTGGAAAAACTGTTAGATCACAAGTTTAGCTACCTTTAAAGTCTCAATCAGGCTGAGTGTGCAGCTCCTGGACACAGCACCTGCCGGGCCTGGGCAAGGTCCTGAGTCTAAGCCTCGGCACTCCAGGGGAAAGGCTTAAGTTACTGCTCATTTCACGAAACACTGTTTCTGACTGATTAGTCAATTACTGCTAATGCATGCATGGGACAAGAGGATCTGGCTTGTAAAATATGCCCCCCATGTTTTCACTGCTACTCAGCAACTTGAAATCAAGGATTCTTTACGCTGGGCACAGTAAGAAAATCCAGATTTTCGTTACTAGATCTGAACAAATTCAATGTGTCTATCTTCTAAGTCATCCAGAAAAACAACGAAGTCTCTGGAGTAAGCCAAGGCAAAGCTCTCCAGGAACCTCCAGTGACCACAGACAAAGCTGTCAGTGGTACTTCATTCCAGGAACTGGAGATTTAAAAAGTTCACGTCTATATAGAAATGACAATCTTCACAAGCCAGGTGTGGTGCTACATGTCTGTAAACTCAGCACTGAGGAGGCAGAGTGGAGGCCAGCCTCAGCTACATCATGATTTCAAAGCTAGCCTGGGCTAACTAGGAGCCTGTCTCAAGAAAGAGAGAGACAGAGAGAAAGAAAGGAGAGAGAGAGAGAGAGAGAGAGAGAGAGAGAGAGAGAGAGAGAGAGAGAAGAAAGAAAAGAGAAAGAGAGAGAAACAAGAGGGGAGGGGGGAGAGACAGACATAGAGGGAGGGAGGGAGGGAGGGAGGGAGGGCAACTCAAACATTGAAATTGTTCTTATAGCTTGTTCCTAGAAATAAAAAAAGCTCAACATTAAAAACAAATGTGTCCTAAGAGCTGGTCTGGATCTAGAATAAACTCATCTCAGAAGGAAGGGCTCTGAATAAGAAAGAGCTGCTAGGCAGTAAACAAGTACAAGATCATTTAAAAGAAAGACGAAGAAATTCTACCTTATTTGTCGTATAGCTATCCCAAATAATTAATTTTCCATCTTGGGACGCACTGACTAGTAGCCTAGAGGAGAAACACAAGAACAATTTGACATTGAGAAGAAAAATGGTTAATTAGTTACGCATTTTATCTTTGAAGGACACTTCAGAACAGTTTTTCTAATAAAACCTGTATACTAAAATAACTCTTCTTCCAACTTTTAAAAACATTGTTATATGCCAAACACTTTAAACAGAAATCAAAACATTTAGCCACTGACCGAAAGCATCTCTGTCTATGATTCAGTTTTTCCCTTGTGACATTTTAGCTCTGATGAAGATTTCAGTGGATATTAGCAGAGAGGCTGAGCATTGACTGATGTAAGTTCAGTGACGTAACAGCAGATCCAGGCCCAATACCCACACTCCACCCAGCCGAGGCTGTCACCCCAGAGCCTGTGAGTGAAGGGCGTGCTGTGGGCACTGGGCAGGCCACAGCAGTGTTGGGGGCATCTGCCATCTTGTGAGATAAGCCACTTGCATATGTTTATAATAAACCAAGTAAGTAAAGATGTCAAAGATATGATATAAAAAAGTACCAGGGAGATAAACAGTACATTATGGTTTGCTGCATTAATAAAAGGACAGTGTGTGGGCTGGGTAGTGACAGCACATGTCTTCAATCCCAGACAGAGAAAAGTTAGAGCACAGGAGGATTGCTGTGAGTTCAAGGCCAGCCTGGTCTACAGAGCTAGTTCTAGGGCAGCCAGGGCTACACAGAGAAATCCTGTCTCAAAAAACAAAAGCAACAGAAAATGACAATGTGTGGGAAGTGGACTTTTAACTTTCTGCACTTTTAACTACGTATGTGTGTGACTGTACACACATTTGAATGCAGGGGCCATGGAGGTCAGCGGTGTCAGATCCCCTGGGGCTGGAGTTACAGGTGGTTGGATGTGGCTGCTAGGAATGAAACCTGGGTCCTCTGGAAGAGGAGTCCATATTCTTAACCACGAAGCTGTCTCTCCAGCCCCAGAAACTGGAATTTCCAAGAGCTAAAGATGAAATGTATCCTAGGAGGAGGCTAACGATGAGGGAGCAGAGACAGGAAAATTCTGGGCAGCCCTGGGACTGGGGGCTTCCTTCCAGTCCTGGAGCTGAGAACACAGACAGGACTTAGGCTGCAGAAAGCTTTGCCCCACCAACTTATGAATTCTTGACTATGTGGTCACTGGATTCTTTTTGTTCTGTTCTGAAATTTTGCTTTGTCACCCCATATAAAATGTAAAAGATACAAAAACAGGTACAATTACAAAAAGCACTTAGCTTTCTTCTCTGTGGGCAAAGGTTTCCAATCTGTGTTTAGAGGGGGAGGTTCAAAGGCGCGCTGAGGGGGGACCAAGGAAAACTTGGAAATCAAGTGCGTCCACTGTGCTGACAGAAGTAATAACCCAGGAGTTAATTAGTAGAATACATGGTGTGTGTGTGTGTGTGTGTGTGTGTGTAGCAAATTCAGGTCATCAGGTGGCCAGAGCTTTTCACCCACTGGCCCAGGGCAAAATATTTTTATTTTAAATAAAAAAAAATCTGCCTTAGCTTTACGTAAGTTGTCAAAAATATAATTTTCTCTCTTCCCTTCTAAGAGGCGCATACGCTATGTTAGTGTATTCAACACCCTCACCACTTTTAGACCAAGATTATATTAAACTTGGAAACAGCAACAAAATGATTAACAAACATGAATGATCACAGAATAACAGTGTGTGTGTGTGTGTGTGAGTGTGTGAGTGTGTGAGTGTGTGTGTGTGTGTGTGTGTGTGTG